AGAAAAGAAACTATATATAAAAGTGAAGATGGTAATAAGATATGAATGATATATAAAATGAATATGAATTTGAAGTTGTGTCTGTATAAAGAGTTTTGACCCGGGATTGAGCAACCTTCAGAAAAGATGATTTTTTATTTTCTTTATGTTATGTCTTATGTTATATGTATTTGTGTTTGTTTTTAAAATTAATAAAACTTGTTTTTAAAAAAAAACAATTTCTTTTTCGCATCTTGTTTCATACCCTTGTGGCCTTTCCCCCCCTTCTTCCTCCCTGTCTTATCCCATCTGGTCTTTTTACCCCCCTTAACTTCCCCTCTCTGTTGTATTTCTCTTTCCATTTGCTTTCTAGCCTTGTATTGATTTTGCATCTTATTTTTCACTTTCTTAGATATTTTTTTAAGTCTTATATCCTTTTTTCCCCCTCTCTTTCTCCTTCCTTTCTTAATCAACTCTGTGGGTTCGTTAAAGATGGCTTCTTCTTCTTCTTCTTCTTCCATCAATTGTTGTATTTGCTGATAAGTAGCAAGCGCCATTTCTAAAAAGCAAAAAATTTCTCCCACATCGTCTTTCTTTATTTTGCCATATTCCTCTCTCAGTTCATCAGCAGATAAAGTCATTGTAAATCCTCTCTTTTTTTTGTTTTCTTCTTCTTCTTCTTCTTAAAACAGCCAAAGATATTTCCAAGCTTAAAACAATTCCCAAAGTCCCAAAGTCATCAAACAATCCAAACAAGGCACAAAGTTCTTCCCTTCTTCCTGGGTAATATCAGTTGCAAAGGGAGAAAAAAAAGCCAATCTGTATTTTAAATTCTTATTACAGTAACTTCCAATCTTCAAAATCTTCCAGGCATCTCCTTCAACAAAATCTTAATATAAATTTTCCTTTTGTCCTCTCCCTTCCCATTTATAACAAGAAGCTTTAAATTTTTACCTTTTGTAAAATAGTAGGATTTTCAGTATTCATTTGTTAATTCCATGTGGAAGGAGAGTAAACTTTCACTTTAAACACTTTCACTCGCAAATCTCTTCTGGAAACAAAGTATCTTTCAAAAAAAAAAAACAACCAAATCTTAGATTTCAGGGTATTAAATGTATCTTCTAGTCCCAGTTCAGCCAAAAAAACCTTTCGCTTCAAAACTTTCTCCTTCTTCCTCCAGCACGATCTTGTCCGGCTGCTGACTTCTTTGTGACGGCCATTGCTGACCGCCGCTGGACCGACTTGAGAAAAGGAGGTTATGCCGGGTGGGGAAGGGGTCTGCGAACACCCCAACCCCCTGTCCGGATCCTCCCTGTCTTCGGTTGCCTCTACGGGGCAACCTTATCCTCCAGACCCGTCTGGGTCGGAGGAACCAAGAACGGCTAGCGCAGCGGGGATCGCAGAGATCGCGAAACCCCGCCGCCTCCAAAGCCTGGCGAAACCGGAAGTCCACATTCCATATTTTTAATAGAGAGAAGACATACTTTCCTGACATTCTCAGCCAATTAAAGAGAGAGAAAAAGAAAAGTAGAGAGGAAGGTATCAGTGTCTGGTGCTCCTAAAGCACATGCTGAGAAAAGAATAAGAACTATTTATAATATTTTTATCCAGCCTTGCTGTGTAGTTTTGTATACAGTCATTTGAACTGCCCAAAGACAAAAAATAGAAGGCATAATAATTATGGCTAATTTGATAATATCAAAGTAGTCAGTGGTTCCAAGAATTCCATGCAGCACTGAAAAATAAACATGTTTCGTGAATCTTAGGTGTACTTTTGTTTTAGAAAAGCAATGGAATTTTAATGGAAAAAAATTATGCTATAGTTTTGAAGTTTAATGAAGAGAAGGATGAGATATGCATAGACATTTATTTGTTTAGCAAATGAATATACCTGATGATGAGGGTGTGAATGTGGATGGGCATGTTTGTATGTGTTTTTCCCAAAGATGCTTTTTTTTTTTCCAAGAGGCAACTGGATTTTCTGTTTTTTCTTTTAAGACACTTTGCTTCTCATCCAAGAAGCTTCTTCAGCTTGGACTGGATGGTGGGGAATGGATAGATTTATACTCCTTGCAGACAACTGGTCATTTGTATTTTTTTAGCGGGTCATTAAGGTCACCTGAAGGTTCATCTGTGTCATCAGGGTCACCTAGTAGTGCAAATTGGTGTGCAGCCTTCTTGGAACTGTTGAAAGGGCTGTGTTGTCCACAACACAGTTGTACCACTCAGGTGACCCTGATGACACAGATAACCCTCCAGGTGACCTTAACAACCTGCTAAAAGAATGCAAATCTCTGGCTGTCTGCAAGGAGTATAAATCCTTCCATTCCCCACCATCCAGTCAGAGGTGAAGAAGCTTCTTGAGTGAGATGCAAAGTGTCTTCAAAGAAAAAAACAGAAAATCCAGTTACCTCTTGAAAAAGCATCTTTGGGACAACCATGACCTGGATGACTGAGAATCTCCAAGGACATTTGTATGTGTTGATCATTCACCTTTTTGTCATAAAAGAACCATTGGAAATTAACTGGAGCTGGGCAAATGGATTGTATCATAGATATTTTCTGAACTTAAAACATTTTATTTATAAAATATTGCAATGTAAATTTATCCACAGGCTCATACTGAATTGGAGCCACCATGGAGCAATTGTTAAAGTAGGACTAAGAGACCCAGGTTGTCCACCACCAATCATGAGAATTCACTGTGTGAATTCATTACAAGTGTGTGCAATTCTCTTTTAGTGCAGTCTGCCTCACAGGATTGTTAAGGAAGGAAGGGAATAGAGAAATAGAGAGGAAGTTTCTGGATTGAAGAAAGTAGAAAGGGAAGAATCAATTTCCCCTTTTAGGTTATAGAACAACCCTTGGAGATAGCAATAGTAATAGCACTTAGACTTAATAGTGCTTTACAGCCCTCTCTAAGCAGTTTACAGAGAGTATATTGCCCCAATAATCTAGATCCTCATTTTACCTACCTTGGAAGGATGGAAGGCTGAGTCAACCCTGTGCCTGATGAGATTCAAACTGCCAATTTGAACTGCCAGGCAGCCGGCAGTCAGCAGAAGTAGGCTGCAGTACTGCACTCTGCACTCTGATTACTACGTCACCACGGTTCATATTTGATTAATTTTCCAACAGTAGGAAGGGAAGAAAGATATGATCCCTATCCAGTTTCATTTGGGAATGTGCTTTGGCTGAGACTTTTCACTATGTTTCCTGGATTTTTGAAGTTATGTCACTGGTAGAGCTAGAAGCTCAAATTACCCCAAAATTTAAGCATTACTATCCTGCCTCCTTTATCTGATTTTGGATCCAGGCGCTCAGATTAAGTTGGTTACTTGTTGCCAACTCTGAAATCCAAAAACATTGGCTACTTCATGGGTCCAAGAAGTCTTTTTTTCCAAAATTAAAAACAAAACAAAACACTGGAGAAATTGGATCTAGTTTCTTAACCCAGCAATGTCCTTGAGGGTGTAACATAAGTCTAACACAGTAGAAGACCCTGAGACCACCTCCTCCTATTTGGTAATTTTCGAAGGGGAGCATTCAGCTTCAGAGTGCTCCAATGTTGTGTGTGTGTGTGTGTGTGCGAGTGTGTGTGTGCGTGCACGCACATGCAGGCACATGCACACATGCACGCGCGCGCGCGCGCACACACACACACACAAATGAGAGGGGGGGAATGAGTTGACTAACAGCATTTTCTAGACTCATTTTGATTACCAAAAGGACTTTGGAAGAATAACAAATGAGTCTTTGGCAAGCTTGATGCTCATTGCTCCAATCAATAAAGAATAGCCCAGGAAGAGTTCTTGGCTATGGCATTACCTTCTGCAGGTTATTTACACATTTAGCATATGGCACATGTTAGCCAGGGATCACGGAGGTGACTGGCTGCCTCTGTGAAATGAATATTTTGGGTGGTGTTATCTTTAACTGCAGGATGCCTGAATGCCGGTAGGCATTCAGAGTAGGCTCCTTTCTTGTCCCTACCCTTCAGCAGGTATCTTTTTACTATATCGGTCATTGTAATACCAAAGCCCAGCAATTAGAGATACAATGGGAAGAGTTGAAAATAGATATCTATGCAATCGTAGTTTGGAAAGTCATTCTTCAGTTCAAAAAATTTATTAATCCTACTGATAATAGAATTGCTATACACAATGGTTCATGAAAGAAGCTGCTAAGGAAACATTATTTGACTCAAACTTGGATCCTTATCCCAATCTAACATGTCCACCAGACACATTCTGGTGAATTAGAACAGGGGTCCCAACCCCCAGGCAGTGCCCTAATTCTGGGCTGTGTTCTATTCAGAATTAGGCCATGTGATTTGCTGGTTCAAGCATGTATGCACAATTCAACTTTCATGAGTGGTGGGCTGGCAAACACTTGTGTGTGTGCACACCAGCCCCCCTACTTGCACAGGTCCACAATTTGTACAAGAACTGTGTATGTGTGCACCCCCAACACCATTCATGGAAGGGTCACATAGTCCTACCCCTCACATAGTCCATTTTCACTCTCCCACCACCAGGCTGCCAAGCCACAAAAGTTGGAAACCACCGAATTAAGGAATAGTTTCTTTTATCAGAACTTTTCACCTCTTGGATGAACGTATTATTAAATATGCACAAAGTTTGAGCTGATTTAGGGATACAGTTTAGATGAGAAGGAATAAAGCTCATTATTAATGGTATAGAGAAAAAGTGTAGAATCAAACAAATATTTCTGAATAAAGAATATTATTGGCAAAATAAAAAAAATAACTTAGAATAAATTATTCAAAATCCTAACCTTACTAACCAATAAAATGACATAGTCTGAATAAGCCTCAATATCTCTCCAATTGAGATTTAATTTAAAGAAGAAGAGAAATGGGAAGAGGAATAATCTTAATCTGTTGTTTGGAGTCAGTTTTATTAACACCCTTAAGAACAATGTCATTTCAATTACTCTTTTATGGAATGGGATTTAACCACATGTATCTCCTTCAGAGGGGTCATCAATTTTCACTTGTTTTAATGTTTACCCTTTAAGAGTTGTTTCTTGTCATTCAGTTCTGGCCTCATCACAATGATAAAGCATCTGGGGAAAAAGATGAAGCCAAGTAATCCAAAACTAGAAGTCAAAATGGAGAAGATCTCCACAGCCACCATGTATTTTCCTTTGGTGCTTACGTAACTTGGAACAAAGGATAACCAAACACTGCAAAAGACCAACATACTGAAAGTAATAAATTTGGCTTCATTGAAACTGTTAGGTAATTTTCTAGAAAAGAAAGCCACCATAAAATTAATTGTGGCTAGCAACCCCAGGAATCCTAGGGCACAATAGAACATTATAGTGGAACCTTCATTGCATTCTAAGATTATTTCTTCAGACAAGGAGTGTGCATCGAAATGAAGAAATGGAGGAGAAGTTGTAAGCCAAATGATGACTTGAATTGAAATGCCAGAAATAACAATTGAGTTTGCCAAATCTTTTCCCACCCATTTTTTCATCCTTGATCCAGGTTTGGTGGCCATGAAAGCTAACACCACAATGATGGTTTTGGCTAACACACAAGAGACTGCCACAGAGAAGATGATAGCAAATGCAGGTTGTTGAAAGACACACATTACATTGTTGGGATGACCAATGAATAGACAAACACAAAGGAAGGAGAGCAGCAGGGCAATGAGGAGTAAATAGGTGAGGTTTCGATTGTTGGCCTTGACAATTGGAGTATCTTGGTACTTAACAAAGATCCAATGCACACAAGTTGTGATGAAAGAAAAACAGATAGCAAGCATGACCAAAACAACTCCCAGAGGTTCATTATATGACAAGAAGTGTACATCTTTAGTGGTACATGAATCCTGGTTGAGGTTTGCATAGGAACCTTCCGGACACTGGGAGCAATCACCTGAGTCTGGGAGAAAAAAAGAGGATTAGATTAGATTAGATCAAACAGACAGATAGACAGATGATAGGTAGATGATAGAGAAATGAATGAATGATATGATAGATAGATAGATAGATAGATAGATAGATAGATAGATAGATAGACAGACAGACAGACAGACAGACAGACAGACAGACAGACAGACAGACAGACAGACAGACAGACAGACAGACAGATAGATAGATAGATAGATAGATAGATAGATAGATAGATAGATAGATAGATGTAAAGAACAAGGCTAAAAGCTGGAATACTGGGAGTTCTAGTCCTACCTAGGCATAAAGGCCACTGGGTAATCTTGAACCAGCCATTCTGTTTTAGCCCTAGAAAGGAGGCAATGGCTAACCACTAACTAGGAGTCAAGATTGACTCAAAGGCACACAATAAATAAGTAATTAGTAAACAAACTATTAGAAAGTATATATTTCATTTCTTCTTCATTTCAGTCATTGAGCAATTTAAAATAATGCATCATAAAATAAATAGAAACATATTGCAAAAATATCTTAGTTTAACAAAAGTATTCTACATATTTAATCAAGTGAAGTAGTACTGCATTATTCTTTGGAGTATCAATCTATGTGGGAGATTTGGACACTGTAAATATGATAAAACAAACAAACAAACAAGTTCTTTTTGGATTCTTCTCTGGATTTCATATAATAAAATTCATCAGATTTTTTTTTTATTATTTTATATTTAATCCACTTCCACTGCCCAGTTCATTTTGGAGCCTTCCTTGATATTTGGGGTTGCAACTCTCAAAATTCATAATCTGCATATAACATTTGGGATGTTATGATCTAATCTACCTGGAAGGTATCTGCTTTGAGTCTTTCCCCCCCTTTCTTTCTTTATTTTTTCATTAAATTTTATTTAGTTTTCAAAATTTAAAAATATACATCATTATATCAACATCAAGACATCTTTTACATTTCCTTATCATCTTTCTTTTTTTTTTTTTTTTTGGTAAAAGTTTTATTGATTTTAACAACAAATAAAAACACATAAAACATAACATAAAATCATCATCATTCTTCATAAATTTACAGACAGTGTATCGGTTGGTTTACCACTCCTTTTTGTGCATCCATTTCATAGTCATCATAATAATTATATTACATAATAACTCATATTATCAATCAACAATTATATATCCTAATATCATTATTAAACAATCATTTGACTATAATTTGACTAATTCATACTTAAGCGAGATAACTATAATTTAGTTAATTTATTTTATAACAAATCGTAAAATCATACCAAGTCTATCTTAATAAAATATTCTAAAAATGTTATCAAAACAAAAAAAATGTATATTCGTTATTTCCTAGGTTTCTAAATATTCTATTATTATATTGTATTATCTAACCATTGATAAAAAAGATCCCAAACTTCATAAAATTGTTTTTCTTGTTCTCTAATTTCAAATGTCAATCTACTCATTTCAGCACATTCCAGTATTTTCTTAATAATTTCTTCCTCTAATGGTATTTTCTCACTCTTCCAATTTTTAGCAAATATAATCCTAGCCGCTGTTAACACATTTACAATCAAATACTTTAAGTTTTTATTAAATGTATCAGGTAAGATTCCCAATAGAAAAATCCCTGGTTTCAAATCTATATGTTCTTTTGTCATTTCTTCCAACCATATGCGAATTCTAGTCCAGTATTTCCTGGCCTCCTCACAAGTCCACCACATATGGTAATATGAGCCAGGGATCTGATGACATTTCCAGCACTTTTCAGATTTGTTTTTGAACATTCTTGCTATTCTTGTCGGGGGGAAATGCTACCTGTAAAACATCTTATACGAATTTTCTTTATATGCTACTGACATTGTCATTTTATAATTTTGAGACCACAATTTTTGCCATTTCTCTAAATCAATCCCATATCCAAAGTTCTTCCCCCAAACAATCATTGTTTCTTTGACTTGTTCTTCCTCTAATTTAATTTCCAACAAATAACTATATAGTTTTTTAATCACTTTTTCATCAGAACCTGTCAAAATCCTATCTAAATCAGTCAATTTATCATAAAATCCTTCTGTTTTAGAATTTTTAAGATACCTTGAGTGTATTTGCGCATATAACTATATTAAAACCAATTCATCTTTATGCCTTGTTCTTCTAAATTTTGCATCGTTTTAAGTTCACCCTTTTCATCTAGTAATTCCCCATATCTAACTGTTTGTTCCTTCTTATAAATTATAGGATAAGAAAAGGCTTCGATAGTTGATAACCAAACTGGTATTTTCAAATAACATTGTTTCTTAATTTTCTCCCAATTCAACCATAACGATTCCCGTATATAGTGCCTTCTGAAATAACCCTGCGATTTAGTTCCCTTATACCATAAAAAAGCATGCCAACCCAATAATAAGTCATGTCCTTCCAATGCCAGTAATCTAGACTTTCTTAACGTTATCCATTCTTTAGCCCACATTAAGTTTGCAGCTTGATAATACAACTCCCAATTAGAAAGGCCAAATCCTCCTCTAGTTCTAGCATCCTGTAAAAGTTTTAGTTTTATTCTCGCTTTCTTACCTTGCCATATATACTTCAACACAATTTTATTTAATTCTTTAAAATAATCCTTACCTAATTTAATTGGTATTGTTTGAAACAAATATAAAATTCTGGGTAAAATATTCATTTTAATTGTTGAAATTCTACCTATCAAAGATAATTGTAGGTTTTCCCATTTTTTCAAGTCAGATGCTATCTGCTGTTTAAGTTTAATATAGTTATTCTCTTTCAGTGTAATACATCTTGACGTCAAAAATATCCCCAAGTATTTAACTTTATTTGTAACTTGAATTTTCAATAGATCTGCCAACTCTTCTCTTTGCCTTAATAACATATTTTTTGTCAGAATCTTTGTTTTGTCTTTATTTATTTTCAAGCCAGCCATCTCACCATACATCTCTATCTTTTCCAGTAATTTTAAAACTGTCTCTAGAGGGTCTTCCAGAATAAAGACCAAGTCGTCCGCAAAGGCTTGCAATTTAAATTCCTCCTTTTTAACTTTCATTCCTTTTATATTTGTATCCTCTCTAATATTTCTATTTAACACTTCCAAAGTCAATACAAATAACAAAGGGGATAATGGACATCCTTGTCTTGTGCCTTTTTTAATATTGATAAGGTCTGTAAATTCTCCGTCTATCATCACTTTTGCTGTTTGCTTGTACTATATAGCTTCTATTGCTTGAATAAATTTTCTAGCAAAGCCCATCTGTTCCAATAATAATAACATAAATCTCCAATTCACGTTATCAAATGCCTTTTGGGCATCTAAGAATATCAAAGCCATTTGTTTTTCAGGGTGTGCCTCATAGTATTCCAAAGTGTCCAAAATTACTCTCATGTTGTCTTTAATTTGTCTCTTTGGTAGAAATCCATTCTGATCAGGATGGATAAAATTATTTAGGTATTTTTTAAGCCTTTCTGCCAAAATTGAAGCAAATATTTTATAATCTGCATTCAATAAAGAAATAGGTCTATAGTTCTTAATTTGTGATGGGTCAGCCCCTTCTTTTGGGATAAGCGTAATATAAGCTTCTGACCATGTTTTAGGTATTTTCTTATTTATCATAGCTTCATTCATAATTTCTAACAATGAAATACTCAACGATTCTTGTAATGTTTTATAAAATTCTGCCGGGAAACCATCTGGTCCTGGTTCTTTCCCGTTATTCTGCTTATTGAGTGCTTCAGTTAATTCCATCATTGTTATAGGATTTTCTAACATTTTCCCAGTTTCATCAGGTATCTTAGGTAGGTTAGCATTTTGTAAATACTGTTTGATTTTCCCCTCATCAAAATCCTCCTGCTTATATAATTGTGCATAAAAGTCTCGAATAATTCTCTTTTTCTCCTTATTACCATGACAAACTTGACCTTGTTTGTCCATTAACTGTAGTATTCTCCTTGATTCTTTCTCTTTTCTCAGTTTGTATGCTAACCATCTACCTGGCCTGTTTGCATCCTCAAAGTAGTTCTGTTTAGCGCTTCTGATTTTTTGCGCCAATTCTTCTTTCTCTGTTTGATCCATTTTATGTTTGATTATGTCCATTTTAAATTTAATATCTTTTTTCTGTGGCGTTCTCTGTAATTCTTTTTCCAATTTTTTATAATCATCTTCTAAAGTTTTAATCATTTGCCTCTTCCTAATATTCTTTTTCTTTGTATAATCCATTATCAATCCTCTTGCATATGCCTTCATTGTGTCCCAAACATTCTGTATTGAAGTATCTTCTTTTCTGTTTTCATTAAAGAAGAAGGCCAGTTCTTTTCTTTTTCCATCCATTGTGTAAAGTCTTTTTCCTTTAAAATAGTATTATTTAATGTCCATCTAGATCTTCTTTTTTGTCCTTTCCATTTAATTGTCATTGGGTTATGGTCTGCCCATGTACTTGTTTCAATATTTATTTCTTGAATATTAGATAATAATTATGTTGACGTCCAAATCATATCTATTCTGGACCATGATGAATGTCTATTCGAATAGAAAGTATATTGTTGAGTTTTAGTATTTCTTTCCCTCCATATATCTTTTAAATTTAGTTCCTCTATCATTTCAAAAAAGGATTTAGGGAGGATCTTCCTATTTTGTCGTGTTATTTTTGCTGTATAGTCCAATTCATTGTCTACAATTCCATTAAAATCTCCCATTATAAATATATTAGCATAGTCCAATTCAATTATTTTCATATGTAATTTTTTATAAAATCTTTTTTGTTTATCATTCGGAGCATAGATTGCAACCAGGAGTATTTTTGTATTGTTATCCACTATTTCAACCATTAATACTCTTCCGTCTTCATCAGTATAAATCAGTTTTGCTGGAATGGTTTCTTTAATGTACAAAACCACTCCTCTTTTCTTACAGTGGGTCAGAGAAGTAAAAATTTTCCCTATTTTTGGTCGCACCAATAATTGTTGATGTTGTTTTGTAATGTGTACTTCTTGTAGGCAAATTATGTCAAATTTTAATTTCTCTATTTTATGAAAGGTTTTCCTTCTTTTAGTAGCTGAATTCAGTCCATTTATATTCAAAGAAATCAATTTTTTTTCCTCCATAGTTATAATTTATATTTAGGTCTAACAGCTCTCGTTGATCTTACTTCACGTTGTTCTTTAGTCTCCACTTGTCCACCTACTGCACCTTCTTCCTTTCCCATCTCTATTTGGTCCTCTTGAAATTCAGTTAGAATAATCTCTCATTTCCTTATCATCTTTTTATGTACACATTTCTTTCATTATATAATTTTAACTTAATATATAAATAAATATAGATAGATATGAATATAGATATAAGTATTTATATAGTTTCTTATTCTTTACCTAATTGTAATCCTAATTCATTTATCATTTCATAGAATATTTTTGGTAATGTTTTCCTTTTTTCCCCATACTCTTATAGTCTTTTTCTTGAATCACTATCACATTAAAGTCACCTACCAAACATATATTCTCATATTCCAGTTCTATTATTATTTTTTATATAATTTGTTATAGAATTTTTCCTGTTTCTTATTTGGTGCATATATGAAAGTTAACAACATTTTTTTTAAAAAAATTACATATACTTCTAACATTAAAATTCTATCCTCCTCGTCTGCATAAACTTGTTTTGATTATAAGTGTTTTCTAATATATATTGCTATTGCTCCTTTTCTTTTGTTTTGCTTTGAGTCTTCTACATTACATTGCAGAATCATAATCAAAATTTTAAGCAAAGCACAAGCAGTATAGTCTGGAAGCTCGTTCCATGACATTTCTTACCTTGCTGCTGAGAAACCTTCCCAAATGGACACTGAAGACAATTGTAGCAGCAAAATGGCTTCCCTTCCTTTGTGGATTTTCTATATCCAGGGGTACATTTATTGTTACATAGAGAAAGAGGTTGGATCTGTAAGTCAAGAAAGAAGAATATATATTAAATTTTAGCAAATATGTCTAAATATTCTAAACAATATCCGTCATACGGATTGGTCAGGAGCAAGAATATATGTTACTGTTTTGATAAATATCAGTGTGGAATGGGACACCTTGGTATAGCCAACTTGCCATAGCCAACTTGCCGTGGTCAACTCACTGTGGGACAATTAGCTATAGGACAATTAGCTGTAGGACAATTCAACAATTCAATGTAAGTATTTAACATAATTAAAAATTATTTTAATTTATGTCATTCACATTTTATTTTGTCTCTTTTTTCATCCTTTTTAATTGATTATATTCAACAATTTCTTCAATATTAGTGTAACTCTTATCCTGCATTGTTAGAGATCCTACACACCCACTTTATGCTCTGTTTCTATTGCTTCCCTCTGGTAGAAGGTTTCAGAATATTTCTAGCAGGACTACCAGATTCTGTAACAGCTTTGTTCCCTATGCCATCCATCTGGTAAACTTGCAAGATTCGTTTTTCTTGCCATGTATACATTCGAACTAGGTGGTGTTGTTTCTCTTTGTCATATAATGTATGTGGGTATGTGGGTATATGCATAATTTATTTGTTTGTTTGTTTGTCATGTTATGTAGTATATATTAAAGGTGGTGACCCTTTGATAGCTGTATCAAATTTCATTTTAATGTATGCTGATTAGTGTACAGTTAAAGTGAAAACAAAATTATTCTAAAGTTAAAGTTCTGAAGTATATCCTCACCTGATTAAACTCAGTGGGCCATGTGAAGGTATCTACCAAAGTTGTGAAACAGTTATTTTCAGAAGCAAAGGGATCCACTTTTCCTATTTTTACCTTGTTAAATGACAGATTTGGGAATGTGATCCAATTGATAATATCAAATCCAGCCAATAATTCTCCATTTGAATCAAAGGAAATTTCATCTCCAGCATTATTGTTGAATGAGACTCTTCTTAGATAATGATGGAGCTAAGTTGAAATAGAAAAACCCAACTTTAAAAAAAATACACGTTGGTCATTGATAATTAATAGAGAGCTGATGATTTACAGGATATACATGTTTGTAGTTATTTATTTATGCATGCTTTAAGAATATTATGCTTGTTAGTGTTAATAATTAAACATTTCCATATGGCAGGATGTTCCATTATACTCAGTCAGAATAGTCTGTGGTAAATGGTCTTTGAAGCTCCCATTCAATAGTTGGATAAATGAATGAATTTTTAATTGTTCTGTAATACCAATGTAAAATATGAATTTACCTGGTTCAAGTAATTAATATCTGTGGAAGATGTAGATAGGTCCAATATCCTAAACATGGGTCCAATTTGTGTTACTTGGAAGATCTATTTTGACACCCTTTCCTTCCCAACATTTAGATGTCATATTGAAATATAACTTGTTCTCTCTAAAATCTTATCATCTGTTCCTTATCTCCAGGCCTGTCTACATACTATATTAATCAACTCCAAATATTGTCACAACATTTATTATTACCTTTATTGTCAGAGTACCACATGTGTACAATGAGATTGGCTGTGTCTCCCAGATAACTCACTTATTCCTTATTTTCTCTGTTCTGTCTTGCTAGTTGCAGAAATATACATGTTGACTTTGGAATTGCTCAAATGAAATCTGACCCTAAACTGATGAATTGTTGTACTTCAAATATGAATGAAAAGATAGAGCAGAGATAGAAAAGTATTCATTGAAATTTAGAACATGAGCATTTTTAAAGGACAGCAAAGAGAGACAATAATGAATATAAATGGAAATCTCAGAGCCTTTTGTATTTGCATCACTGTGTTATACTCAGTATTTCAGTGATAGAGTTTGTATTAAATGTTGTAATATTTTTCCTCATTTTTTAAAAAAATGACCTTGTGTTCTAAAGGGCACCTGCTTGTTAAGTGACAACAGAAAGCCACTATTACACTGGTTATCACTGCTGATCACTAGGATATACCATTTAATCAGTTTTGATATCACACTACTAACCAGAGCATACAAAACATTTGCTAGACCAATATTCGAATACAGTTCATCAGTCTGGAACCCACATTACGTATCTGATATTAGCACAATTGAGAAATTCCAGAAATATTTCACAAGAAGAGTTCTCCACTCCTCTACTCGTTGTAGAATACCTTATGCTACCAGACTTGAAATTCTAGAACTAGAAAACCTTGAATTACGCCGTCTTCGGTCTGATTTAAGCATGGTATATAAAATCATACATTGCAATGTCCTACCTGTCAATGAATACTTCAGCTTCAACCATAACAACACAAGAGCACACAATAGATACAAACTCAAAGTTAACCGCACCAAACTTGATTGCAGGAAATACGACTTCAGCAATAGAGTGGTCAATGTCTGGAATACTCTACCCGACTCTGTAGTTTCTTCCCCAAACCCCAAAAACTTTAACCTTAGACTGACTACTATTGACCTCACCCCTTTCCTAAGAGGTCTGTAGGGGGCGTGCATAAGCGCACCAACGTGCCTACCGTCCCTGTCCTATTGTTTCTCTTATTCTTCTTTTATTTTTCTTATATGTACCCATTTCATGTATTCACAACTATGTATACACTTATACTTATTATCTTGTAAACAATTGGCAAATCAAATAAATAAATAAAATAAATAAATAAATAATCTTCATTGGTTATACTTTAGTAGTGTATGTTCAACGTTTTATTAGGATTTGAAATCTCCTGTGCAGGTTTGAATTCCATCAAACTGGGATTTCAATTCACTACACCTAAAGACTCACTGCCTGGGAACAGAAAGTTATTTAACTTATTAGTTTTATCACACTATGAAGAGAACTGAGCTGGACTAAGCAGGTGCAGTGACATTAATGTGTAGTAATTTCAAGACACTACCTGCCACAGTTGATCATTCTGAAGCTTCTGATTTGGACCTTTCCAATCTGAGGACTGCGTGTCATGCAATGCATGTGCCACAGCGTAGACTGCATTGTAGACATTATAGCTATGGCCTGTCATGCTCATTTCAAACACAGAACCAGGAACAGACTCCAGCTTCTCCTCCCCAGTGCAAATCCTCCCAGCTGTCCCATCTGAGAAGAAGTCAGAGAAGGAACAAAGAAATACTTCCTTCCAGAATCCTGTGATAAAGTCATCAGCTATTTCTGAGATAGGTTTTTTCATCTGAAGAAATCTTTGGAAACCCACTACCTCCTTGGAGTGAATTGCAAGAGAAAAAGCCCAATGGAGGACATCAATGTGCATATATCTTTGAAAGGAAAGGAAAGTGAATTCCACCTGGGCTACCATAATCCAGACTACCCCTTTTTTCTGTTTTGGTAACTTTGCCATATCTGCAACCCATGGGAGCAATCTCAACATCAGAATGGTCTGAATTTCTCCATGAAAGAAGACAACATTTACTGTACCATGGACCACGACTTTATATATTTCCAAAAATCGTGCTACAATTCTTTCAAAGCCAGATGAGAAATCTATTGCAGGCAATTCTTGCATGAACTCAAAGCAAATCCCACTCTGGGAAAACATAGGGAGCACATTCCATAGTAATCTTTCTCCATTTTCATAATTTAGAAAAATCATGCCAATCCATGTCCACCCAAAATGCAACAGCAATTGCAAAATCCCTTTGTACTGATAATTCCCATTTGGAAACATTCGGTGGAAGAAAACTTCTTGGGTTTTTTCCTTCAGCACTGGAGATGAGCCATATGCAAACTGGAGAGATTAAGGATTATATAAAAATATAATAAGAAGACAAGGAGAGTTGGTTAAAGTGAAACAGAACAAATCTTCATCTCTAGAAAAAATGGAGTTGCAAATAGAGATGGAGGTGGAGATGAAGATGGAGTTTCAAATAGAGATAGAAATGAAGCTAAGGAAGGTAATTGAATGCTCATGCATCAAGACATTCCACCTTACCTGGGGAATTTTGAAAGTGCTCAGAATTCTGGCCATGAAAATAGAGACATCAGGACTTGGTCCACCAATAACTGCCACTGCATCCACTTCCTTGCCACACTTGTAATTAGGAATCAGTCTGTCCTTACTGAAGAGAATGGCCATTGAATCCAGATAGGCTCCTCTTGCAATGAAGTTGCTATCTGTGATATGAAAACCTAGGGTAATATTTGGTAAGATCTGAGCATTTCCATTGACCTCCTTTATAGCAAATTCCAAGGCTAGGATGTGCTGGTAGATCTGAACAAATATTCTGCAATGATAATTATTATTTTTTCTCTAACTCACAATGCTTATACTAGGAAGAAAAAAATATACAACTCAGAGAATATTTCCCAGCCATTACATGTGCCTATATAAATTATAGTGAAATTAAAACAATTTTTACAACAGTAGTACAGAATCTGAGATTAGTACACATTTGCTAGTGTTGTCCTAGAAAATTCTGGAAAGAGATATTGTCACTAGGAGAAGATATTTTGTATAAATTTGAAGGTTGGATTTTTAACAAATGCCAGTCAGGAATGATGACTCATGAAGCCTCCAGAGCAAACAGTTATTTGCCAATTCAAAACAATAACAGAATAAAAAAGTTGGAAGTTTTTTAGTCCATTCCCTGCTCAGGCAGGAGACCCTGTATCATTCCAAGAAATGGCTGTCCAGCATCTTTTTAAAAGCTTCCAATGATGGAGCACCCACAATTTCTGGAGTCAAGTCAACCCACTGATTAATTGTTCTGTCAGGAAATTCCTCCTTAGTTCTGGGTTGGATCTCTCCTTGATTGGTTTCCATCCATATAAGTGGTGGGATTCAAACTTTTTTACTATCGGTTCTGTGGGTGTGGTTTGACTTGATGGATGTGGCTATCCAGCATCTTTTTAATGGCAGGGGAACGATACTGTAAAATCTCCATTCCCTCCCCATTCCTGGGGGTAGATTATTGCAAAATCCTAATTCCCTTCCCTACTTTCCAGCTCTGTTCTCCTGTGCAGGGCAACAAAATAAGACCCAGCCGATCAGCTGAGACTCAGGGGGCAGAGAAGAAATGGGGACAGGGCCAGTCAGAGGTGGTATTTGCTGGTTCTCCAAATTACTCAAATTTTTTGCTACTGGTTCTCCAGAACTGGTCAGAACCTGCTGAATACCACCTCTGATCCATATCTTCTTCTCCTGCCTTCAGGTACTTTGGACAATAGATTGATGCTCTCTTCTCTGTGGCAGCTACTTAAATATTGGAACACATATCTAGGCCTTCTCTTTACTAGAATAGACATACCCAATTCCTGCAACCATTCTTCATCTGGGGTTATCTGGGGATGTAGATAATTAACAATCTGAATTTACCTCTCCACACATCATCCTTAGTGAAGCATGCAAACCAGCATCTGCATTTCCTGTGTTGGATGAGGAAAGCATGTCTTTCTCCTTCTGTCCTGGCCACTTTACACATAGGCACAATGGAGAGGGTTTTAACAAACCGCATCACTGTTTGGTTTTGTGACAGCAGTGCTTTAGATAGAAAGTCCACACAGAGAATGATAAGGACAGCCAAGAAGATTATAGGAAGCTCCTTTCCTGTCATTCGGTGCTTATAGGTGCTATGTGCTTAGAGCTCAAAGCATTGTTAGAGACCCGCACGCCCACTTTATACTCTGTTTCTGGTGCTCCCCTCTGGGAGGAGATTTTGAAATATTTCTAGCAGGACTACCAGATTCTGTAATTGCTTTGTTCCCTGTGCCATCTGTCTGGTAAACTCACAAGAATTGTTTTTCTTGTCATGTATATGTATACATCCAAACTAGACTGTGTTGTTTCTCTGTGTCATATAATATATGTATATGTCATTATAGTTGTTCTTTTAAAGTTGTAGCAACGTTTTGGCAGAATCTCATCTGCCATCATCAGGCTTCTGTATAGTGTTTGTCTAGATGAACACAGACGAACACTATACAGAAGCCTGATGATGGCAGATGAGATTTGGCCGAAACGTTGCTACAACTTTAAAAGAACAACTATAATGACGTGGGAAAATACCCAAGCTGAATACCATACATATAAATACCCGTAAAAACTTAAGAAAACATATGTGTGTGTGTGTGTGTGTGTGTGTGTGTATGTATGTATGTATGTATGTATGTATGTATGTATGTATGTATGTATATAGGTATATGTATATGTATTTATTTGTTTGTTTATTTATTTTTTCATGTTTATGTGGGGTATATTGGAGGTGGTAACTCTTTGAGAGCTTTATGCAATAAATTTTCATTTTAATGTATGCCAACTAGTGTACATTTAAAGTGACAATAAAGTTATTCTATGTCTAAGACACATGGCAGAGGAAA